TGGATCGCCGGATCGGCTTTCACCGTGGACGAAGCGGAGTCCAGCCCGGGGTCGTCAGATGTGGTTGCTGCAAGCCCGCCCGCCACCGCTCACTCTAGGGCGGGGCATAGAGGAGAAACAATAATGTACAGTATGTGGAAAATAATGTGTTTTTTTAACCTTAAACCGCATAAACACATTTGAATACACCAAATACACAAAATAATGTTCTTTTTAGCAACATCATATGACCACTTTAAAAAAATGTATGATTGTTTTGGCACTATGAGAATATAATCTGGAAACCCTGGAGGAAAGAGATCATTGTTGTGCAGCCTGTGCTCTTAAAACAGTCAAAGTCAGACCTTCCCCATAAAAACTCGCTATGCAGTTTACTTCAGTTCATCGGAACATGAAAAATCTGCCATTAACACACAAAGTTATCATATGCCTTCAGAAAGCTTGGAGAGTAATGCATGAATTATGCATTACACTACATGCCTGACGGACATCTCTGCATGGATGAAAGAACATCACCTGCAACTCAACCTGGCAAAGACAGAGCTTCTCAACTTCCCAGCCACTCCATCAGTACAGCACCAGTTTACCATCCAACTGGGCTCATCAATGATAATCCCATTGTGTCCGGCCAGAAATCTTGGGGTGATCCTTTATGATCAGCTGACCTTTAAAGATCATATTGCAAAAACAACAACGATCATGCAGGTTTGCACTACACAACATCAGGAAGATCAGACCCTTCCTAACAGAGCATGCAACACAGCTTCTCGTCCAGGCTCTTGTCATTTCTAGGCTAGACTATTGCAATGCTCTTCTGGCTGGACTTCCAACATGTGCAAACAGAACTCTGCAAATGATTCAAAATGCAGCAGCACGTCTTGCTTTCAATGAGCACAAGAGAGCCCATGTCACACTGCTCCTCATCTCTCTACACTGGCTTCCAGACGAGGCTTGCATCAAGTTCAAGTCATTGGTACTTGCCTACAGAACAGCCATGGGCTCCGCACCCTCTTACCTCCGCTCTTTTGTACTCATCTACATCGACACCAGAAGCTTGCTGTAAACAAGCGGTGGCTCGTGGTCCCATTGCAGAGAGGCACAAAATCACTCTCCAGGATGTTTTCTTTCACCATACCCTGTTGGTGGAATGACGTACCTAACTACATCTGAGCCAAATTCCTCACAATTTTCAAGAAACAACTAAAAACTCATCTCTTCCGTGAGCATATAACTGCCTCCTCATAAAAAAAATAAATAATTCTATGCCTTCATTTTTTCTTTTCTCTTATTATTCTTTATCCTTTCCTGTCCTAGCTTTTACTATTTTAAACGATGACTGAAACCTTGTATAACGGGCACTTCTCGTGTTTATTATGGTAAATCACTTGTTGTATTCCTCTGTAAGTAACTTTGGATAAAAGCTTCTGCCAAATGAATAAATGTAAATTATATAGACTACATTTAGGTTTTTTAAACATTAAGTTTTTGTCCTTTATAAAGTCTTTGTGATCACTATGAATTGTTGCAGCATGCGGGAAAGAGCTGCATAAGTATTTACAGAAAAAAACAGCAATAATGAAACAGTGATTAGTTACAGAATTGTTATTATGGGTGAAATATCCTTTTAATAATACTAAGCCAGAATTTTTTTTTGACTTTAATAGCTGCTGATTGTGACTGAACTGAACACATGGCTGTCGGCCTTTCCAGAGATGTCCACTGACCCCTTTCCCAGCAGTCATCAGCACTGCGCCCATGTAAACACTAGTGAAGAGTCTCCTGACGGCCATGTGGTCAGTGAGTGCAGGATCCTGTTTACAGAGTGCAGACAGTTGTGAATTTCAGTCATTCATCTGCTCCTTTACTTTGACAGACAAACAACTAGGTCTGTCTGACAGCCAGTAAATATGAACAGTGTTTTATAGTACTTCCTCTCCACATTAACCATGTTAGCTATTACTCAGTACACTACAGTCCTGAGTAGTCCATTTCTGGACGTTTGTTTGTTTTTGAGTTGAATTCAATTGAATTCAATTATTTCTATATTTTTAAACACTTAAAAAGTTGTCATTGAGAGCATAGCAATTATCTGTTGACAATATCTGATGAACCCTCATCGCAGAGACACTCAAGAGACTAGAAATATTTATGAAGTGCATTAAAATGCTGTGAGCAGTACTTGGTACATGAAAGGGGAAAAAATAACTAACTGATAACAGGGACAAACTCATGACATTAAAAGCCAACAAGTTACTAAATGTGATGAAAAAGCAACAATAATGCAATTAAAACTGGAAAACGGTCAAGCAGTGAAACCATATTAATGAATAATAATGGGAAGAGGGCAAATGAGACTGATAAACAAAAATAAAATTTTTTTTAGGCCAGTTTGGGGGAAAAAACGAAATATTAAATACTTCAAATATAAATAAAATATAATAAAAACTTTTATTTAAAAAAATAACTGATTGGTCTGCTATTCTGCTATATCATGTTACTCTATATGTACATTAACATTTTTAACATTATTATTAGTGCAAAATTCCATCTATCCATCCATCCATCCATCCAACTCCTTATCCTCTGTAGGGTCATATGTACTTTAACATTATTGCATAAATATATATAAATAATCATAGAGAAATAACATAGAGAAATTCAAGGATTAATTGTCTGCCAATAGCCATTAGAAAAAAATAACAAATAATAAAAGTGTCTTCTAGTAGCAATTTATTTGTACAGCATCACTCTTTTTAAAATGCTCCTAATGTACACAACACGTCTGGAAAGACTGGTGGCGACTTAATGTAAATGTTCACATCCTGAGTGATAACAATGACTTAATTAAAGTTTAGAGTTTTTTAAGGGAAGCCGAACACAACGACATACTCTGTTTCACTCTCTCACAATCTTCTGACGGTTAATGTAAATTCAAGGCAAATGAGGACATGATGAATCAGAGAAGCACACAATGAGAAAGGTCAACACATTATCTAAGAGGAAAGAGAGAGAGGATGCAGATAAAACAGAGCTGTCACTCAAGTCTGTCAAACCCAGATGAAACTGATTTTTCTGCTGACTGATAGTGAATGCTTTGCTCTAAGGCTGTGCCAAAAAAATACTTTGTATCTTTTAGTTTGTGGATCCTGGGATTAAGGGGTTTGGTTTCCTTCCTTGCATTTTGTAAGTGATGATTGATCCATTATCAAGATATGGTGTGAAATCATGTCAGTCTACAAGCTCTTAAAAGACAGGATGTCATTAAATACTGATATGAACATGCTTAATCCACTCATAAAACTGTCCAAATAAGCAGCATTGTGAAATAGAGATGCATGTGGATTTCTCTCGTGCCCTTAGGGTTGCACATTTTTCACTTCATCCTCAAAATGCTCTTCGGCGAAGTCCACCTGCTGCCGGTGGCCCGGTGCCCACCGTCTGTTGAGTCTTATTTGTGGGCCATGCCTGCTCCATGTGCTCATCCTCTCTCACTCCACGGCAGATCTTGGCACCGAGTGTGGGGTCTGTTTACATCATCTCTGGTGGGTAGCTGGACGAAAAAGTGCTGTCGTACCTCAACATACAGTTCTGAAGCCATTTCGGCTCTTTATTATGAGGTGACTGTGGAGAACTTTTAACTGGGGAATCTGCTAAAGAATTGCTGATCACCTTGCGTCTCAACATGATACGCATTACACTATAGGTAGCCTGAGTGTGAACGGTGATCTCTGTTTACATAACAGTCAAACAAAGGCTATGTGCTTCAGGCTGTTAGCAGTAGTGCTAGCACTAATAATAGGCAATTGCCTTCTGGTTGCCTTCCGTTGGAGCGGTTTTGTGTTTAGCTTTCGTGAGTTAATCAGGCACTAATTTTCAATCAGAGATTTGTTTCGATAATTTGTCCACAGACTTCAAAAGCATTGAGGTGACTTCATCTAGCACAATGCAGAGACTCTGTCATGTAGTTAGCAATATGAAACCTGTGAGGTGTGTATTTACTTTGAAAGGGACTTTGTGTAAAACTTAGAGATCTACCTCGCCCAAAGGCTAAAACAAACAAAAAGACAGACAGAGAGAGAGAGAGAAAGGGTAAAAACACCTCCAATCTGTGTGCCCGGCTGATGGTTGACTGAGTTTAGTGGGAGGTGGAGGGGGAGGGTTTTAGAGGGAGGGACAATGTCATCAGGATTGGGGAGGAGAAGATCAACCTGATTCCTCAGGGAATGAGGTGTCTCAACAGCCTTGCAACTCTACTCTCGTGAACATGCTAAATTAGCTGGAACCGTCAACACTGGCTTTTCTGGCAGAGTTTTAGTGTTCATTATGGATGAAAAGCGATTAGCTTTATTTCCACACTGGAATACTGTCATACCAAAGGTGTGAGGACTTTGGGAAAAAGTTATATGTATAGCTGCAGTCCAGGACCTCAGGTGAGTTTCTGAGATGTCAGGCATGCGGTGTCAGTTTGCCAAACTTTTTCACCTCATTTCTGTTGAAAGTGGATTTTAGCACATACTGTAATCTACATCCAAAAGTGTGTTGGTGGTGCTTTGTGGGATTTTATAAATCTTGTTATTTTGCTGTGGTAAGCATTTCTTTGGGCTGCAGTCAAGCGTCGCAGTTAAGCAGTGTTGCAGCATTTTCTAAATACAGATACAAATCTTTAAAAAAAATTCAAATAGTTCCTGGTGGAAATATAAGGGTGCTAGTAATTACTAATGTGACGACTGTGCAAGTGTACTTCACAGGTCTGTGTATATTTATAAAAAAAGATTTCTTGAATTTTTTAGTTATTCAAACAAACTAATATTCTCTTAATATTATTATCATTATTATTATTTCAAATGTTCGACTTGTCATCTAAAACACAAACAGAAGCTATCCTCTATTCTGAACATATTTTGACTGGGGCCTAGGGTAATCTCGGTCAATATGGAATATTATTTCTTCCTAAATACACCTATCAATTTCCCATCTCATCCATCAAGGCCTTTATAAGTGGTGTGATCATTCGAGATTATATATTGAATGTTAAGTTGATTACATATTTAACATTTTGTGGTATGATTAGAAGGTGGTGACACATGAAGGTGGACACCTTGGCGATAACAAGAAGGTGGTCACCTTAAGTGTTCGGGTCCACATATATATTGTGTTTAAGCCATTTGTCTTAACTATCCATTCTCTGAAGCCCTCCTAGCAATTTAGATAATTGCCTCCCTGTGGCACTAATTGTGGATGTGAGGTGGATTGATATCCACAGACAGATGGGGAACCTACTCACACAAAAATGTTGTAAAGATTTTTCAGAATTTGTGCAAGAGGAAAGGATTTAACCTCAATAGAATACGACAGATAAAAAAAACATGCATTAATTGCTTTGCTTTAAACAAAGATAATTGTGTTTATCATAATCTAATTAGCAGGCAGTTCAAGAACATTTTGGGAGGAAGTTCAATTCCGCGTCATCTGTAATGTCTCTGCACCATCGAGCTAGCTGTTCTGTTAAAAAAAATGACGCATCTGTGGGCATGTTGATGCTTGGCTCTGGCCACAACTTTTGCAAACAATAAACCAACAACAAGAGCTAGTGTAATCCTATGCACCACAAAGCATTAAACGTTCAGGGAAAGTAATAAGAACTGCTGTAGCATCTGTTAAAAAGCAAATGAAAAATTGCAGTATGTGCAATAGCTAAAAACTGCTCTTTGTTGGCTTACTTGTGGTTTACAGTAGTACATGCTTTAAACACATGCAACAGTTTGCTTTGATGTGAGTTTCTTGAGTATTATTAGTGCTTGATACAATTAAAGTTTGATTTATCATAGTACACAGTACCATTACAAGAGTGCAAGCATGCTGAACTGTTCACGGTATCCTTAAATGTCATTAAATCTAACAAAACTGGCAAAGTGAGAACTGATTGTGAAATTTGATCCGAGTGTGTGCGCCTGGCTGAACGTGTGGCGGCAGGTAGCTGTGAGAGTGTAGGCTGGAGGGCAACACACTGCACATCCTACTGCTAACAGACTCACCCTGAGGGATTTCACAACTCTTACCTGTTGGATTTCGGGAGATTTCAAAAGAGTTAAGAAGTATTGTTACTGAAACCCACACAGAAAAACAAGTTTTATTTAAGTCTAACCAGCATGGGACAGATTAATTAATTGATTAATTCATTCTCTGTTAGTACCTCTATCCCATAGATGCGTCCTGGGAAATATGGCTCCATCTCGCCCACCCCCATCTAGAGAGATTTATTAGATTAGATGCACCTATATAAATACAGGAGAATGACAGAGAATAATAGTTTGAATAAGCATAAATTAGTTCAGCTTGTTTTTACTTCTTTACAGTCTCCTTTTATTTATTTATTTATTTGACGTGGTGTCACACACTGTATTATAGTTAAAGAGATAGTTCACCCAAAAATGAAAATTACCCCATGATTTACTCATCCTTAAGCCGTCATAAGGTGTATGACTTATTCTTTCAGACGAATACAATCAGATTTGTATGATTATATGTCCTGGCTCTTCCAAGCTTTATAATGACAGTGAATGGGGGTCGAGATTTTGAAGCCCAAAAAAAGTGCATACATCCATCATAAAAAGTGCTCCACACGGCTCCAGGGGGTTAATGAAGGCCTTCTGGACCGAAGCGATGCATTTGTGTAAGAATAATATCCATATTTAGAACTTTTTTAAACCATAATCTCTAGCTTCCGCTAACTGTCGTATGCACGTTCATGAGAGAATTGCGTTCAAGTGGATGAGGTAGGACGTAGGCGTAGCGTAAGCTCCGGTGTCGAACAAAGTTTACAATTTTATTTGAAACTGGCTGGGTGGGATATGAAAGATAAATTAACAAGAGGGTGAGGAAGGGAAACTCATTGTCAGGCACCCCCCAAACATATGATTTTGGTATCTGATTTGAAGAGCATCCCAATGCATAAGTTACAAGACTCATTTTCATATGCCAATTGTAGTTGACTTGTAGTTAAAGAAGACTGGCTCAACCATGTGAAAATGTATCACCTGGTTTAAAGAGTTCTGGTGCTCTTCTCATGGTTAAACAATGTAATGTAGCTTGTCAAGGCATGTCAAAACGGTAGAAAAAATACCTGACTATGGTCTTTCACTAGGTGAAACAGACAATGAGATGAATCTGTGTGTGTATGTGTGTGTGTGTTTTTGTGCTTTCTGGTTTCGGTATGTGGTTAGATAATGGTCGTTGTAATATTACTTTGACATCTCAGCTCATGGTAAGACCATGTTGTGACACAGCATTTCAAGGTCTGCTTGTCAGAAAAATAAAGGAGTTTTAAACCTTTTTTCCCTTCTCTTCAGGTCTGCGGGTCCATGTTGAGACAGTGAGAATGGCTTTCACAGACACAGCCATAATTCTCATCGTCATAGCAGTCCTAGGAACGCTAACCAGATGTCAGGGGAGCCTGGTTAAAGACAACTCTCTGCTGAGGTTCACCCATCATTTATATAATGCCAGCATTTATGAGAACTCTGCCCCCAGGACCTATACTGAGAGCCCGGTCCGAATGGGCATCATACTATCTGATCCCTTCTGGGATGTTAAGTACAAGATTGTGTTTGGTGATGATGATGGCCTTTTCAAAGCCGAGGAGGTAACCGTAGGAGATTTCTGCTTTCTGAGAATCAAAACCCGAAGCAGCAACTCAGCTGTGCTAAACAGAGAGGTACGAGACATTTACACTCTCACCATCGAGGCTACAGAAAGCACCTATGACAACCGAGCTAGAACAAAGGTATCAATCCAAGTGCTTGATACAAATGATCTGAAACCGCTCTTCTACCCTGCCTCTTATCATGTGGTAATCAAAGAAGACACACCGATCAAGTCGAGTCTGGTGGGAGTAAGTGCAACGGATGCTGATATTGGCAGCAACGCAGAATTTTATTACTCAATCACCACTAGATCACACCCCTTTGCCGTTGATCCTTTCACAGGGACCGTTACACTTATCAAGACACTTGACGCCAGTCAGAGAGACAGGTATGAGCTGACTGTGCTGGCAGAGGACAGGACAAAGAAAATCTCTGGCGTGCAGAAGTTTGGAAATGTAGCAAAGGTTGTTGTGACCATACAAAACGTGAGAGAAAACTTTACCCTCATCACACCCACCAGTGCAGCGACTCCACAAACGGATGATGACAAAATAAGTTTGAACATCAAAATGGAACCCAAGGAGAAGGAGAAAGTGGCATCTTTAAGTATAGTTGAAGGAGATCCACTGAAGTGCTTTCAGTTTGTTCCATCGATGTTGCATGATGGTGGCTTTCAACTGGTCTCAACAAAATGGATTGATTGGTCGCAAAACCCATTTGGACTAAACATTTCCCTTCAAGCCAAAGACAGAGGAAACCCTCCTTTGCTAACGCCAATAAAAACTGTGCATATCCCTCCACCTCCTCAAGTTAAACCTTTGACATTTGAACAAGAACTCTATTATGTCACTCTCAGTGAATTTTCTCCACCGAAAAGTCACGTAGTTAGAGTATCTGTAGGTTTGAGTTTCAAAAATATAACCTACAGCATCAAAGAAAACCTGGATAGCTATAAATTCAAAATTAGCGCCCAAACTGGTGTGATTATGACTTCTCAGACTCTTGACTTTGAGAAGCACCATCACTATGAGTTTGATGTCACAGCAAATGATGGTGAAGCGTTTACCCGTGTCGTTGTGGATATTATTGATGAAAACGATAATTCCCCCAGGTTCACGTTGCCCTCATACCAGGCTTCTCTGGCTGAAAATGTCCCAATCGGAACAAGCATCTTGGCTGTCTCTGCTATTGATGTGGACAAAGATAATAACGGTTTTGTAACATACTCTATAGCAAACACAGGTCCTGTTCCTTTCATTATAGACCCACTGACCGGTGTGATTTCGACCTCTCAGGAGTTTGATTATGAGCTCATGAAGAGATGGTACCACCTGAGAATCTGGGCCTCTGATAGTGGAAGCCCTTTCAACAGAGTAAGCGAATGCCCTGCAACCATCACCATGACCAATGTCAACGACAATGTTCCAGTGTTTGAGCGGGTGGCATGCAATGCCTCTATACCCCGAGACTTTGCTGTAGGGGAGAGTATTGTAGAGATGTCAGCACTCGATCTGGATGAGCTGCAGCAGATCATATACAGGACAGAGTCTGGGAATGATGATGGACTGTTTGCAATTAACCCTGTTTCTGGCTCTATTAAACTTGCTAAAGCAATTCCCTCAAATTACGAAGGCACAGAAAATCCTTTATATATACTTAAAATAACAGCAACAGATGGCAAATATAGTGCTGACCCCAACACCGTGACTGTGCGTATCACAAGCAAGGGCGAAGGCGCCAGCACACACTGCGAGGAGACCGGAATTACAAGGCAGTTGACAGAGAAGCTTATTGAGTCATTTAAGCCGTCTCTCAATTCCAAAGAAGAAGAGTACATCTCAGATGTTCATATAATTAACCAGCACTCTCCGAAGTTTATTACGGGTACACCAAGCTCGATTGACATCAGGGAAGACTTTGCTCTCAATAGATCTGTTTTGCAGTTTAATGCCACTGACAATGACTCTGGCTTTAACAGAAAGCTTGTCTATGCAATTTCCAGTGGAAATGAGGATGGATGTTTTACTATTGACATGAACACAGGTGAACTGCAGGTAATTAGTACTTTGGATAGAGAGCAAAAAGAGTTTTACATTCTCAACATAACCGTGTATGACCTGGGATCTCCACAAACCTCTACGTGGAAGCTTCTTGCTGTTAATGTTCTTGATGCAAACGATAATCCTCCGTTATTTTCTCAGCCAAGATATGTTGTGAACATCCCAGAAAACACAGAGGTTAACAAAAGCATATTCAAAGTCAATGCAATCGATCTTGACTCTGGAGACAATGGAGCATTTAAATATTCGTTGTTAACCTTCACCGATTTGTTTAAGATTGATGAAGTCACAGGGGTGGTGAAGGTAACTGGGCCTTTAGACAGAGAGACTTTTAGTAGATATGACCTAACAATTGAGGCCAGAGATCAAGCCAAACTGGACCCACAGCTTTTCTCATTTACAAATCTGATGGTCGTCCTGGAGGACATCAATGACAATCCTCCAAAGTTTGTACCCACAGTCTATAGGATCAAAGTTCCTGAGGACGTTCCTCCAGGCACAGTGCTGTTATGGGTCGAAAGCTTTGATTTAGATCTGGAGAGCGGAGGTCTTATAAGCTACAACCTGAAGAACAGCGAAGCAGGGATGTTTTTCCTGGATACATCCACAGGGTGCTTGACTCTGGAGCGTGAACTGGACTTTGAGAAGCAGCAGTTTTATAATCTAACTGTTCGCGCTGTAGACCACGGAAAGCCCCGGTCTTTATCATCTTCATGCTTCATTGAGGTTGAAGTGTTAGATGTAAACGAAAACCTGAACCGGCCCCTTTTCACCCAGTTTGTGCATAACGCAGCCGTTATGGAGGATGCTACAGTAGGAACCTCAGTATTGTCACTAACTGCTGTAGATAACGACCTGGGACGAGATGGAGTAGTCAGATATTACATCCATGATGGCTCAGGGCTTGGCGTCTTCACAATTGAGGAAGAAACAGGTATGATTGTGATTACAACATATCTCAAATGCTTTACCTAGATAGGAAAATACCTAATGGATATTGCAGACCTTTTCTATTACAGTACTTGCCTTGAGCATGCTGGGTCAACACTGCATGTTCAAACATGTACAGATAAGTCATTAGGCATTCCAAACATATGTAAAGACAAAATGAGGCATGACTTTCTCCTGCACATGTTGAAAGATTTTAGGCATTTGAAAAGCCACATCCTTAACATCTGTAACATTACATAAACTATTATTCTTTGACTACATTATAATTGGTTTGAGTTTTGCCGTAAATGTGCTACACCGAACCGACCCGGACCCGTCTATTATTTTGAAAGTTGGACCCGGGCCCGTGCAGAACCGAGAAATATCAAAAATGTACTACCCGGAACCAACGCGGACTGTCAATTATTTGAAAGATGGACCCGAACCCGGCCGGGAAGACACAGACCCGACTGGACCCGATCGGCACATATTCCACAGCAAATTGCTATTAACAAGTCGATAAACAAGTTGCGAAAATTAAACTTTTTGTCTTACCTAATGTAAGAAGCCTTCTCCCTTGTATCTGACTGTGATGCACACAATCCTCCTTGCCAAGAAAGTTCCATCCGTGTTATTCCTCTCTTGCCAATTGAAATGCGTAATCCACTCATTATTCCAGTTTCAAAAGTCCACTTGCTGTCACGGTGACGGATGACAAATGCGACTTTGCAGTTTTGCATTTTTTGTATCTCGAGTCAACTTGCATAATAATTTAGACTGTTTGCCCATTTGGATTATAATAACAATTGCTCGTCCAGTGCCATGGCTGCTGACGTTGGCTTTACTTATTTGCTATCATCTCTGTGCTCTCTGAGCCGAATTTTTTTTAGATATAACAACACCGACTCACACTTTTCTCATCATAATTTTACAAGTTGAAAGTTACAAAACAACACACGCACAGCGCTGACTGACTGATAACGGCCGGGTGTTCTCCGAGTCCGATCGACTCGGGTATTACACACAATGTTAAACAGACCTGGGACCCGACCTGGCTGACCATTTAAAATATAGCCCCGAACCCATATGGATCCCGGGTCGGGTCCTCGGGTCTCGGGTCCGCCGTGTAGTCCTCTAGTTAAAGGGATAGTTCACCCAAAAATGAAAATTCTGTCATTAATTACTCACCCTCATAATGTTCCAAACCCGTAAGACCTTCGTTCATCTTCGGAACACAAATTAAGATATTTTTGATGAAATCCGAGAGCTTTCTGGCCCTGCATAGACAGCAATGCAACTACCACGTTCAAGGCCCAGAAAGGTAGTAAGGACATCATTAAAGTAGTTCATGCGACATCAGTGGTTCAAGCTTAATTTTATGAAGCTACGAGAATACTTTTCTCATGGAACAACATATGGTTGAGTAATTAATTCAGCCAATAAACAATATGCTAATAATATGCATGCTAATAAACAACTCGTTAATAGTGAGAATTGGTCCTTAAAATAAAGTGTTACCGAATGTTTAACATTATATGAAGACATTGCTGTTGCTATCGGTTAGTGATTCTGGAAAATTACATTTTGCAGGTGTTATTCGGACCGCAGGCCTTCTGGATCGTGAAACCGTGCCACACTATTGGCTGACAGTTTATGCAAAAGATCTGGGCACTGTACCACTGGTATCCTGGACCGAGGTCTACATTGAAGTTTTGGATATTAATGACAATCCTCCTGAGCTGTCCCAGCCTGTCTACTTTGGCTCAGTTCAAGAGAATTTGCCAAAGGACAAATCTGTGCTAAAAGTATCTGCCACAGACATGGACAAGTCCTCTGAGGGGAAGCTAGCTTTCCAGATCCTTGATTCTCAGCGCGTATATTTCACCATTGACACAAAAACAGGTAAACTCCGTACTTCAAATGATCCGTCAGAAGGTACTTGATCATACGTTTTGGCTTTTTATAGGGATAATGAAACAGCACAAGTTGTGAAAATGGTGGTTCATGATTGATTAAACGTGTCTAAGCACATGTTTTATATAAGGGTGGTATGCCTCGTGACGGGCACAATGAATAGGACCTCTAATTACTGTGAATACTGCGATCAGTGTGTGTCATTTTATGTCAAGGGTGAGGACAGTTGTTAAGCAGGCCCACAGAGTCACACAAACTGCAACACCTCTGACCCTTTTTGCAGCTCAACGTAGCCTTTGAACACTAGCTATGAAAATTAGAACTACATTAACCAGCGTTGCAAGCTTGCACTTGTCTTTACTAAGTCTCGTCTCTTTGTTGTTTCATCTGCCCTACCTTGAGCTAATACACAAGGATTACAAAGAATACAGGGGGTTGGGTTGTATTATATGAAGGATCTACCTCACTAAAATGTTCATTTGTAGATGTTTTAGACTGGCCAAAAAATGTAGATGTTTGCATTTCCATTGTTAAAGTGCTAGCGAGTTTGGCTGGAAGCTTGAGGTGAAAACTTCTTTCAAAAACCCAACTGGTGTGAAGCATTACTTTAAAGAGATCTCTATAAATATTGGATGCGTGTACTGAATAGTCCAGGTCAGGAGGATAAAGGAGTATGCTAAATGAATATAAAGATCTGGAGATCTGGCTCTTGAGATGGTGACAGCAACAAATCACACTTCAATGCGGTTTAACCTGCTTCCCTCAGGGCTAAAGGGACTAGAGTTCTCTGGAGTTTTTTTGTCAGGACAGGACAAGACAGGACGGCCTGAGATGACTAATCACTAGAATGAACACTGTGACTAAGCTAACAGCCTAAACAGCTTAGCACCACTAAACCATAGTATTTATCGAATATGAACACTTTCTAGTGAGTATGTAGGCAAGACAAATATTTGACAAACTGTGGGTTGGGAACGGAGTTTACATTATCAAAAGCCAATTGCTCTAGGGGAGATTAAGGCATAAGAATAGAGACAAAAAATGGTTGCTTTGTAATATTTTGAATGCTAAAATTGCTAAAGACGTGTTTTTAATCCATGCATTTGCCTATTGTCCCATGCACGATTGGGCAATCTTTCCACAGGTGGGCATTAATGCCAAAACCACACTTTCAGGATTGCTTGCCTAGATACAGGCTGTCATAAAAGCTCAGCAGGGTTTGTTTTGAGTGCTGCACAAGTTGATAGACACTGTGGGTCCCTGCCAGCCCTCGTCTACTGAAACGACACTCTTAAGCGTTTATTGCAGTGGTGGTAAACCACTATCACTGGTGCATTTTGGCCACCTTTAGCCTAAAATCAGCTGTTGAGTCGTGGAGCACACTTAACCAAGCTTAACACCCAATTGTAAAAAGGTGTCTGAAAACCTCTTATACTAATTCACAACACTTCTTAACTGCAGTGGCTCTTAAGCCGTGGCTCATTTTCTGTCAGTTTCTTGGCAACTGGGAAGTCTGGTCTTTAAGTATATGTCAGCGATGGCTAAATCCTCACTGACACGGACATGAAAAATAACCATTGTTCCCACGGCTTGTATACCACAGGTTCACCTAGTATAAACAGTGGAACAAAACAAATAAAGCTTGAAAAACAAACCTGTGTGAAGGGAAAGTAAAATGGGCAGCCTGGGGTGAACAAAGTGTTACATGCTCTGTGGAACAGCTGTTTATTTAAAGACAAATGTGGTTTTTGATTTGTGCACATGATGTTTCCCTCACCTGCCGTTGTTTAGGTCATGGTATCAGATGAAGGGGCCCCTCCATTAAGCTCGACTGCAACCGTAGTCATTGAAGTCCTAGATGAGAATGATAACAGCCCTCAGTTCAGCCATAAGCTTTTCCAGGTAAAACTCCCTGAGCGGCAGAGCACGGCTGAGCCTCAGGAGATCTACAGGATGGTGGCCCGTGATGATGATGTGGGGCCCAGCGGCATGATCACATACAGTCTGGAAGACGGCAGTGAGGATCGGTTTGATATTCATCCTGAGACCGGGGTGGTGACTGCTAAAGGAGAGTTTGTTCGGGGCAACTACAGTATTCTGACGGTACGGATACAAACTAGGGCTGTGAACTTTTAGATTGACAGGGATTGGTTCAGAACAACCAATTGAATCAAGATTTTTTAAAATGTTTTTTAAAAAAGTTCTTTGAATACTTCCAGTAAGAAATATTTTGGTTGTGTCATATTGTTTTTTACTCATCTGAATCAACGTACTGTCGCAGATTTGGGGCGAAAACATGAGGTGTCATTTTTTACTACAGGTCATAAGTTTGGAATAATTAAGATTTTAAGTCTCTGTTGCTCGCTAATGCTGCATTTATTTGATCAAAATACAGTGAAACTGTAATAATGTGAACTATGATTACAATTTAAAGGGGTTGTTCACTGGGTTTTTTCTAGGCTTGATTGTGTTTATGTGGTGCAGTCTAACCTGTGTTAACGCTTCGTTTTAAAAAAAACGCATTATTTTTCCACATAATTTACCTTTATTCCACACCGCTCTGTCCCTTCTCTGAGAAACGGGCTGATCTTTTCCTGTTTTTATGAAGCCCCGCCCTCAGAAATAGGCGATGGGCTCTGATTGGTTAGCTAGCCCAGTGTGTTGTGATTGGCTCAACCGTCTCTAGTGCGTGTCTAATCGTTTCGCCCCTCACCTCAGCGGCATGTGCTCCGGTTGTAAACAACTGTGTCTTTAATATCGCTGATCAGTTTGAGCCCGATTGAGAAGCAGAGGATATTACTGAAGAGGATCGTGCAGAACCTGTGCAAGCACGGCTTTTAATGGTAGGCCTACCTTTTTGTGGTCTCATACTTTTAGAAACGCTGTGGTAAATGCTACTGCTTATGTTAGCTTTAAATATACGGTTTTATTTTGATTAAAGCTTTAATACAGCACAGCAACCGCGTGCGTGTCCATGTTTAATGCTTCTCATAGCTATGTGAAAATAAGAGTATAATTGGAACAGTTCATTGTTCATAAAGAAGAAATTTTGAAGAATCTTCAGGTGTGTCTTTGCCATACAACAATTCACAATGTCCATGAGCTCCAAAAGGACAAAAAAGCATGATAAATGTATGTATGACTTATTTTAAGTCTTCTGAAGCCAAGCCAAGTTTTGAGTCCTGAACAGACAGAAATGTAAAATGATTCACTCATAATCATCTCCTGTAGTGTGCTGTTAACTTCAGATCCACTGTCACCGAATCATTGAGTCACTGTTGAATCAGAGAACCAGATCTGTCCGATTTGTGAATGAATCACTCTTGTGAGCCAGTTCTTTTAAACAAACTGGTTGATCTGGTTCACAAATCTTGCATGATCAATTTGAATTATTTGATATGTTGTTGTATAGAAAAGACATGCAAGATTTACTCTAAAATTGTCCAATAAAAAGTAAGAGCATTTAATTTTCAGTGAAGTACGAAGGAGTACAACAGTTAATAATTTAAGGGGTGATTTTGAAAATACTTTTTTCAATCATAAAAAAAAAATCACTTTTGATTTTTGGTGAAAATTCACATTTGAATCACATAGTCAGTAAACATCTTTTTAAAACAGTTAGTCACATGAAGTATTTATAAGGAGCTGTTTAAATGTGTTGCCTCAAAGTAATGTTGAGGGAAAGTAAACTGCATATGAATTCTGTGGATATGGTTGCAGTGAATGCTAATATAAAGAATATTGCAGTTATAATATTTTATATTTATACTTTTGTATTATTCATTATTAAATATCTTTGTTTTTAATATTTATTTAATGTTTAATTCAAATTTAGTTTAGTGAACCTAAGAGCCAATTTTATTAGTTTCTGTCTTGTGTTTGATTAATAATTACTGTCTCACAGAGTGTTACCTAGAAGTACTTAAACACTGTTACAAAGTGTTACATGCTCTGTGGAACAGCTGTTTATTTAAAGACAAATGTGGTTTTTGATTTGTGCACATGATGTTTCCCTCACCTGCCGTTGTTTAGGTCATGGTATCAGATGAAGGGGCCCCTCCATTAAGCTCGACTGCAACCGTAGTCATTGAAGTCCTAGATGAGAATGATAACAGCCCTCAGTTCAGCCATAAGCTTTTCCAGGTAAAACTCCCTGAGCGGCAGAGCACGGCTGAGCCTCAGGAGATCTACAGGATGGTGGCCCGTGATGATGATGTGGGGCCCAGCGGCATGATCACATACAGTCTGGAAGACGGCAGTGAGGATCGGTTTGATATTCATCCTGAGACCGGGGTGGTGACTGCTAAAGGAGAGTTTGTTCGGGGCAACTACAGTATTCTGACGGTACGGATACAAACTAGGGCTGTGAACTTTTAGATTGACAGGGATTGGTTCAGAACAACCAATTGACGTCCCGCCCCTCACCTCAGCGGCATGTGCTCCGGTTGTATTGTAAACAACGGCTTCGTTAATCGCTTATCAGTTTGAGCCTGATTGAGAAGCAGAGGATATTATTGAAGAGGATCGTGCAGAACCTGTGCAAGCACGGCTTTTAATGGTAGGCCTACCTTTTTGTGGTCTCATACTTTTAGAAACGCTGTGGTAAATGCTACTGCTTATGTTAGCTTTTAAAGGGGTCATATGATGCTGCTAAAAAGAACAGTATTTTGCGTATTTGGTGTAATGAAATGTGTTTATGCGGTTTAAGGTTAAAAAAACACATTATTTTCCACATACTGTACATTATTGTTTCTCCTCTATGCCCCGCCTTTCTGAAACGCGTAGATTTTTACAAAGCTCATC